TTCAAATTTCAAAAATTTTAGCCACTATTGTTTATCAAGCCCAATCTCCTGACAGGGTTTATAAGTCTTTCTATAAGCGTGCATTGTTCAGAGAAATCAGCAGAACGTAGCAAACTGGGATAATAGATTATGATCATCATGACAGCATGAACGGAAAGACGTCTATTCTGCTGGGCTGGACCCATCAACATCGATGCAGCATGCTATCAAGCTAACTATGGTAATTGATACTAAGGGAGATAGCAGTTCTCCCAGATAGTTACAGTCGGCTCCACAACAGGCTCACTCAATACCGCAGCGTTGCCCTGGGTTGAGGGTTCTCTGTTACTGCTGACACGTCCGAGTCTAAAGGTCTAGGCGTATGATTGATTGTACATCTGCGGAGACTGTAAGGAAGACACGGGACCTGCGATTTTGACTGTCTGGTTATTTTTCCCGGAGAACCAGTTCGGTTCATGGGCAGTATGAATGCAGTTGTTGAGCGCCCTACATAGAGAAGCTTTGATTTCGAAAGACGTGTGAGCGCTTGAGTATTAAGTCTTGGCTCGATGCAAAGGCCCTTTGGCGTTAATGAGCTCGGCAGAATTTATTAACATCTTGCAAGTTTGGGGACACCTGCAACTAGCAGAGTGCTAACTAGCCAATGCACAATGGACCCAATCAGGGTAAATTAACATCAGGAGAATCGGAGCGTTTGGGGCGACAAAAAGACCACGATTTTGCTATGTCGAATATCCGGGATAGGTATACTGTACTACTTCATTCGTTTCGGATGGCGTTGTGACCTGTGACCTTCCATCCGAAAGTGACCTGTCGGATGGTGGGCCCGCGGTCTGTGACCACGGCCAAAATTTCGGAAATGAACGCCCAAAATTGCCAAATTTGGGCAAAATTCGGGATGTTAGCGCTGGTAACTCGCTGGGAGGACTTGGATGATCCTCCAGTGACCTGTGACCAAACGAAAAATTTCGGATATTTTTGGCCTTGTGACCGTGACCATCCGAAATGAATGAAATAGTACAGTATCAATTATGTTTTATTTTGGGATGTCAGGAGTTCTCTGAGTTATCTTAGTATATATTATTCATTAGCTATTACTTGACGGACCATGAAAATCCAAGGACGTAAATTGTTTCGGTTTTCTTCCTGTTGACATAGTTTCGTGCTTCATGTGCGAGGTGGCTTGGCTACAATCTATTGGTAAGATGCTTCTGTGGGACATAGATATTAGAGCGCACAGTTCGGCAGCTCGGATATGGACCAAGGTGAGGCCAAATTGATTGATCTGTGGCAAGACGAAGTGAGGGGAGGCCTCAGTTCAAATGAAGCCATTAGTAATAACTCTTCAACAAGACTCGTTACTCAATGTTGGCTTACTCACCTAAGGGAAATTTCCGAGAAAGCACCTACATCAAGATGAACAGATTGTTACCTGCTCCGAGTCATTTCATGAGGAACCCATTTGTCGACATGTGGCGCATCACCGCTCACGAGGCAGCCACGCGACAAGACTGGGAATGAAAGAGCACACGAGTGAAAAATGGCGAATACAAACCCTCAAAATCCGCAAATCACGACAGTCTGTTCCCGTCATTCTAGTGGCAGGAGTACGCGGCCAGCCTTGAGAATCACAGGTCTCCAAATCCGCGTTAACGGGACTATCATGTGGTCAGAAGGCACGGGAAGGATAACTCGTGAAAGGAGATGATACGGAGAGGCCTGGGGATTTTGAGGTCGTAGTAAGAATCAACGATCGACCCGCGCCATGATGCCTCTAGGATCAGAAGCAAGAAAATTCACGAGGAAAGAGCAGTGATTGATCTAAGCTCAACAGCGCTGAACGATTGTTGGTTGAGTACTGCCGCCGCACTGGCAGGGCCTAGGAAACTAATCGCCACATTGAGATTACGAGTCCCGGTTGACACGCCTATTTGAGAAAATAGCAAGTGCTACACTTGGAGAAAGTAGGGCGGACCGTTCAAAGAGAGAAGTTTAATTACGCCCTATTTTCTAGGGCCAGGACGCTATGCCGACTCATGTAAGATCCTCAGCCGGACGGGAGCTCGCGTGCTTGCGCGGAAAACATCAGAACGGATCGTCTTCCAGAACATACAGCACTCGCCGCCACCCCGCTGACCATACTCGGATACTGCGGAAGTAGAAGGCAGAAGGCGTATGTTCCCATAGCAGTCAAGAGGATGATATGCGACGAGCCGCGCAACTCGGGTATATTCTTGAAATGGAACGCTATGGAGACGGAGCTGAAGGCCCTCGCTTCTGAAACACTTTCTGGAACATACCCTGCATTCAGCGGTCGCGTGCAAAGATGCTTATAGGCCTTCATATAAAAGGCAAAGAAACGTAAGTTCAATCGGTTTTGGCCTAACCAACTTTTAACTCACATCCTGCATACAGTTAGTTTGCCTTCATGATCCAAAGGCATGGTAACGTATGTCTATTTCAGTGAGATGGTTCTAATGGATGCATGAAGAAAATCAGAAGGTGAACTGAAATCGGAGCAGAAAATCGCGGAACATACTGCTCTCATTGGAGCCCATGAGAACCTGGAAGAACGAACTTATTCCATCCCCGCTGTCAGGGTCAGCTAGGACAAGCTAAACATATCGACGGCGATCAGAAACGATGAGCTCAATCGGGACTCACTCACGACCAGAGGAAGCTTCCATGTACATTATCTAGAAGTATCTATCGATCCAGGGACCAATGTGCTTGTGGTCGCATGGAAGCCACGCTACAGATGCAAGAGGCGTTTATATGGTTCTATCAATCTTCCTTCATGTGAACGCGCCCAAGGAGTCAGACGTGGGTAAATGTTGACGTATCGTAACGGAAGCGCGCTGAGCGAGAAGACTCTGTGACGACACCTGTAGCCAAAACAACTTGAAAGGGTAAGTCTCATAACACGGACGAAAGATCCTGTCGGAAAAATTGTCCTGGCGCTGTACACGAAGAACCGAGTCGGTTGTGTGAAAAAACAAGGGTCGGACTCTAAAGCTAGTAATATGTGCCAGTTTGGACCGGAAGCAATAGACATTGAAAGATCGCACTCCCGAGTTCATGTACAGCCGCCACACTTCGATGGAAAAACGAGCGGAATGCATCATAGGAGTCGAGCTGCGAACGCCGTTTCATGGCTAGAAATTAGTTTCCTTGTAGAGATGTAAAGTGCTCGCCTGCGTCGATCAGAACGTCGGTTGTTAATCTGGGACTTGGAGTTCAAACGAAACCCCATAGCAATAATCATCACAAAGAAATTTTGTCCTTGCTCAGAGCACAAAGGACCGTAGTTTTCCCCAAACCAATGTTTATCACCTCGTTTTCCCCAAACCAATGTTTATCACCTCTATCCGAGGGAACGACATATGAACCTTTCTAGTAGATGCGATAAAGATCGACTTATTGACGTATAGCCGCCACAATCCTACTATGAAAGAATGAGCAGAAAATGTAGCATTGATATTAAAAATCGTGCAATTTGAAAAGAACTTTGATAGCTCACCAGTAGTATGTAGCACATTCCTTCTTCGATACTCGACCAAGAAATGGCACTCAGATGTGGCATATACAGTAAATAACCTAATGCCGCAGGTAGTGCGATAAAACACCAGAAGAAATGAACAACTCGAGATCCCCGCCTTTCGCATTCAAACAGCATCAGTCGCCACCATCGTGTAGAACTCAAACTGAGGGAATCTACGTACCAACCTTAGATCTCTTCCCGAACAACCTATATGCGGTACACGACCTCCCTCATCGAGAAAACACCATGAACAACCAACACCTCCAGATCCACGGAGCATATTGCTCGCTTAGAAGCGAAAGACAGCACTGGCTGCCACAATCATGCCACGGTGAATCTCGGACTCAGACACGTACACGATATTCCAATTCCACATACACAAAATAGGGGTGTCAGCCTACAGCACTCGCTCGAGAGTCGACAGCATCGGCCCCCACAAACGATCACATTGACGTGCGAATTTGACTCACCCCCATACACACAAAAGGACAGTGTTGTCCAAGACGTTGCAGCAGGAAACGTCGTCCCCTTTTGAATCAATACCAGTAAGTTCAACACCGAACAGAAGAAGGAAGCGACTTGCCACTTGGGTATACCCATGTGAGAGTACAGCATTGATCGCCGCTATCATGTAAAGGTCGTACACGATATCCCAGTTCGAATTCCACATACCTAGAAAAGGACACTGTTGTCCAACTCTGGTGTGGCGGGAAAAGGTGCGGCAGAAGATCTACCACTTGTACTTTTGTGTCACAGCACGTTAGTTGAATCTTGATGTACCGCCGACGTAGTACCCATGTCCATATCCGAGATCCTCGGTCTGCATCCTGCTTTTGTAGAAGAAACACGAAAAAAAAAAGAGTTCGAAGCAAGTCGACATGGTTGGTTTTGGTCAAACCAAGGGAAGTTACATCATCGAATTTGCGCCGCGGCGTGGTACCTGACCGAATGTATCATCGGCCGAAACAAACTTGAAACTCGAAACCACTGACAGCTTGAATGAAGTGAGAAATCAGATTCCAGAAAATGATCTCGATAAATACTTTCCTTCCAAGTTCCACACAACTACACTGACCCCTAGCCGGAATTGCGCTCCGTGGATCATATGCATACACCAGAAAAGGGCGCTGTTGTTCGACTCTGGCTCTAGTATTGGGCAAAGGGTGCGGTACACCATGACCTACCTGCTCTTCTGATTCATGACATCTGACATGCATGACACGTTACGAGAGGAAAGCTGATATAGACGTACCCATTGTTCTCGGGTCGTGGTGGTTTTGGTTCAAGAGCTTCGAGTTACGTCATCCGACGGCCCGGGGATTCGATATTCAATTTTGAAAGCTGTACAGCCGATGTACCTGAACGCTTCGGCCGAAAAGCTCATGGTGACGAATACAAGTCAGTTCAGAAAAGCACTGGGGAGCAGCACTAAAAGTGTAAGAGTTCTGTGCATTTGTATTTCCCCCTAGCCGACTTGAACGACTGACCTCTTCATAGCATATGGTTCTTTGTACAGAACTGCAAATACTAGTGAAGCGCTCTACCGCTGAGCTAAGGGGGAAGTTACCTTCTCCCTCAATGCCCTTAGCGTGTCCTTAACCAACGCAAGTGATAATCCAGATAAAGTTCAACTCTATTCACATTCCAAAATCCTAAATGCAAACCCTCAAAAAATACAATTAAACTATAAAAAAAGGTATCTACTTTACTGGCATTGGCAAAGTTCGTGCATATGCATGCATACGTGCATAACCATGAAAACATGAAACCATAAGGAAACCACCTCTAGGGTAGTCGTGTTTATGCTATGCTACAAAATCACATCACGAGGGAAAACGTAGTAGGGGGTAAGGGGATATACTATAGCTACAGATTTAGGAACGAGAACGAGAAGACAGAAAACAGAAAACGTGAACGTGAAAGACAACCAAATCAACACTGCACCCCAGCCGTATACCTCGCATACTCCTCCGAATCAATCGGCACCGAAGGTGGATACGCCATCACAAAGCTCGGTCTCGACAGATCAATCGTCGACTCCTGGGCATGATAAACATACTCCTCTTGCGCATGTGTATACTCCGGCGTAGGCGCATGCGTACTAAACGCCGAAGGCGGCATTCCAGCCTCCTGATAAACAGGAACAGGATCCAACGGGCTAACAGCAACCTCCACCGCACCGGGACTTCCTGCACCCGCCACCTCAACTTCCTGAGTATGCAACTGTGGCTCCTCAGCACCACCAAACCCAAACCCAGGATTAAACAACGACGTATCAACCTCCGGAAGAGGCTCATCATCTCTCTGCAGTTCCCCACTCTCCTGAGTTTGTTGAGGCTGCCACATCCCAGGCCATCCCCAAGATTGTGCTTGAGAAGCTGTTCCCCAAGAACGACGCATACCCTGTGCGGAGGAGGCACGTCGGCCACCGAGGAGCATACGATGTTCGTGTGAGATTGAACCACGGGGGTTAAACGACCCAGCAGATGCGGGGAAACCCATGTTCCACTGGGAGAACCCAAATGAAAGACGGGGGTTGAAGTCGTCCTGAGTTTGTGGGGGTAGGTACTGCGAGAACGAAGGAAGCTTCTGCGTCGGTTGGGGAGCGTAGATCTGTCCTTGCTGCTGCGCGTAGGACGAGATGCCGACAGGCGGGAACTGCGAAGGTGAAGGTGAAGGAGGTCGGAACTCTCCTTGGGTGGCGGTAAAGTCTTGTTGAGGCTGCTGCCAAGTATAAAACGCAGAAGACATATCTACGTCCATACCCATCCCGTTGCTTCCCATAGGTGGAACTGAAGATGGGCGGCGCATCATACCCCAAGAGCTGGTGCTAGCAGCAGGTTGCTGCCAATCGATAGGAGCGTTGTTTGCGAAGGGGTTGGACCAGGTAGGTGCAGGTGAGGATGTGGATGTGGACGAAGGCGGGAGGTGGAGTTTACCGTTGGATGAGAAGGAATCGTCGGCGCCGAGGAGTGTAGTAGCATCGGATGCGGAAACGCTATGTGAGTCGTCCCATTCAGTTTCGGAATCCGAGGACGGTGCTTCAAAGTCTCGTTGGAGCCGGACCTGGAAAAAAGGCGTTAGCGGGATTCGTGTGATGAAAAAGGCTGGACTAACCTGTTCATCGTACTCTGCCATCTGTTCTTGTAACGTATCGCCTCTGTGACCCAACAATAACAGCTGGGTGAGGAATTCGTCTCTAGCCTGCTTCGCTGCCTCTTCTCTAGCCAGGCGCTTCGCACTCTTCCTTGGCTCGGTGGAGATCTGGATCACCGGTTTCTCCGCCGCCGGTACAGGTGTCGGTGTGGACTTGAGCGAAGAATCAGCAGACGAAGCAGGAACAGCAGCGCCGGCCTTATTCTTCTTCTTATGCACCGGCTTGAACTTGTAGTCCGGAAACTCCTGCTTATGCTTCTCCTTTGCATGTTTGGCTTTGATTTCCCAGATACGTTTATCCTGTGCAGGTAGGGAACGCCAACAGTTGCCTGTGTACACAGCGCCCGCGCATGATCAGATAAGGGTGACGTGGCGAGCGAAAAGGATGGAAACGCACCGATGATACGACTGAGAGAGCTATGGTTGGTTTCTATACTCCCTGGAACGTGTTTTTGCTTGACAAAGTCTGCGCGGAAGAGCATGAAAGCGTTGGGTGGCCGAGGGATGTAGCCCTGGCTCCGTCTCTTGCCGGGCGGTTGACGGCGTTTGGAGGTTGTTTGGCTGGGTTCCTCAGAAGGTGGGAAGAGACCTGCATCTGTGGTATCGTCCAAGTCGTCTGGGGTTGAAGAGGAGTATGTGACGGGTGTGACGTTTGGGCAAAAGGTGAGTCTGTGAGGAAGAGAAGGAACAGCGATAGCTGAAGCAGAGTAAGTTCCTGGGAGAGTTTTTGAAGGAGGAGATAAGAGATGTGGTAGGGACGAGCGACGACGGCTACGAGTGACTGGCATTGTGGTGTAGATTGTCCTCTGTTCTGCTTTGGGATGGAAGGAAGGAGAACAATAGGAATGAGAGAACAATAAGACTTGTGATGATATATGTGCGAGGTCAACCGTTATCACATCAAGACCCCGGATACCCCCCGGCTGCATGTCGTGATCGCCGTGGCAGTGAAGCGTGCGTGGATCCCTGCTTTTCGATCGTTTATTGACTGTCATTCTCAAGATAAACACCGTCGACAACACTCTCCTGTCCGCGAAAAATCCAGTCTCTCCTCTATACTCCCTCAAAACTTGTCCAAGGCTGCTTTCGGGGTCCTACCAAACAGCATACCACCTGACCCCAAGTTCTTTCGGCGAATGATTCCGTATTTGGATGCACCCTTGATGTTGCTCGATTAGGTTTCTCGTTTATATTCATCAAGAATGGTAAACCTGCAAGACGAGCACAGTACAATGTACACTTTTACCAGGTCATATCGTATAAATGCACTGTCCCGCCCACTCGTCGACGCTCTCAATCCTACTAGTGCAGCTACCGGTAGACGCGCCACTGTTTCCTAGAGACTGAGGCTGAGCTAGGAACCAACTCTCAGGACTTCTCTCCACATTCCCACCGACGCCGAAACAAGCGCTATGCCTATCTCTGACTCTTCGGCTGCTATCCACTTACACGATTCGCGTATCCGTAGAAGCATTCCTCTCCGCTTCTCATCCCGCCTCCCACATCCATTTTCACCTCCCGAATTTAGAATTCATTGTACTCTATGATTCATAACGATACACGGACCCATACGCACCTCCGCTTCCCTTGCGCCTTGTTCTTGTATTTCCCGCACCCTGCACTTGTTCTCTTTGCGTCCCGTAATCCCGTCATCTCGTAAACCCGTACTCGACCCCGCTTCGATTTTCATCTTCTTCGTCCGCATTTGGGCGTTGGTTTATGACGCGCCCCGGCCCCTACCTAAGCCTTGTTTTCATCGAGGACAAGGGCGCTCTTGTATTCACATCACGACATTGTAGTGGACTTTCCTTGGTTGCTGTAGTTACGATGCTTCTACACTTCTATGACTCGAAGGCAAGTACTTAAACGTTTGTTTTTCCTTATCTCGGGTCTCGATTGAAGGCTTCGATGACCGTGAGACCGTCAGCTAAAACATATCAACAAAGGCATCTTCCCCCTTAGCTCAGCGGTAGAGCGCTTCACTAGTATTTGCAATAGGCAATTTGGCTATGAAGAGGTCAGTCGTTCAAGTCGGCTAGGGGGAACCTTTCCTGTGAGAGCTGCATTTTTTTCCCTTGACTCCACGGAGGTATAACTACTACCGTCAAATTTCAATTGCTCTCAACGATGTTTAGACGCCGGACCTCGTACTCGGACACGTGGGTACGTTTGGAATTTATTTCGATTTGTGAGTTTCGTTACGCTTTCTCATGATCACCTCTGCTTTGAATTGGTGTGCTCGATGTGTCACTGCTAATCGGCTTCTCTTCCTACTACCCCTTGCTAATTCAAAACATCTATTCGTCTCGGTTCTTTTCAATGCTCGGGGCTTTGAACTAACATGGATAACGGACATACGAAGCCTAATCATCTTCGGCGTTGAATGCTAGCTTTCATCATGATCATGATCATTAGTGATACCAGCTGACCTTTGACTCGGAAAATGTTCTGCCGGGACTGGGCTTCAGATACCAGGTGTGCCTTTTTGTGACGTTGCGCTGTTAAGCTCGTCCCATCATGATGCAGAGTCAAACCGTGTACTGAGAGGGATACCAGTAGGGTAGATTTAACTGAAGAACTCTCTACGATACAGGCTGGCTTATATACTGAGAGACTACCTAAATAAGGAACGGTAGATAAGGGATAGGAAATATATGAGTCCGCAAGATAGGCAGTGTTCGGTCACTCGATGACCGGCGCGTTACACTTTTCTTGAAATTTAACACCTCCGTAGTCCTTTGACTGTATTGTGCGGCGTTAAACGGGACTTGTGGCGTCATGATGGACTTTCCGCGAATGTTCAAAGGTCGCGCGTTGAAACTTGAAGTATGAGGTTATAATTATCTTGTTGAACAAGGCATGTACGTGAAGATATCGGCGATAACTCCAGAAATGTATTGTGCCCCGGGTATGATGGTTTTCAAGTTTCCAGTTTCAATTAGTACGACGGCCTTGTACATACATAACCATTGAGTTAAAGTCAATGCATCTCAATTTCGGAGGTTAGGGGTGATTATGTGTAATTGATAGCAATATCAATCTTGCTGGATACTCAAATGACTGTGAATTGGAGAGTTCAACTTAAATGTGTTATCTCAACAAAGATGTGGTCTACACGACTAGAATCTCGAAGATTGGACTATTGGCTCACGCCGGGCGATCCTGACACCTGTGCACTCGGAAACAGTGAGCGGTGTGAAAAATAAATTTTTGACACTTTGACATTTCATACTTTGTTCATACTTGAAGATCTCAGCAGTAAGATACAACTTGAAGTGACACTCTGACACAGCTTGTAAATTGTTCCTGAGTCGAGGTTGCAGGTCTCCAGGGCAGAAGGACTCGTTCGTCTGGTACTTGATACTGATACATCTCTTTCTCAGGGGTACAGTATTGATAATGACTTCACGGAAGCACATCATGATGTTTTAGACGCCGAGATCGGGCACGTGGGGGTTCTAATTGAATTTGAGTGCGTTCCTGGACCTGAGCCGACCTACTCCCTTGTTTCCTTCTCATGACACCACGTTCTCCACTGGCAGAATCTCCTCTCTATTTTCCGTGTGAATGTCCTGTGGCCATAGGAGGGGGATCGAATACGTTCAAGTTGGTGCGTACCACGTAGTCGTAGTTGGGCGGTGATGAACCAACCTTGAACCAACCACCTTTCTGATAAGCTTTCGTCGATTGTTGAAAATTCGGCCCCGGACTGGGGGGGTGCTCCAATGTTCTTACCGCTTACAGATCCCTTCAAGCTGATCGTTGTAGGAAGCACAATTCCTTTTTGGCATTTTACTTGACTGAGATTAATATTCATCTTCCAGACCGACGATGTCCTTCCAGGTTTAACCGGTTGTATGTAGTTGATCAACTACCCATTTTACCGAGTGACACTTCAAGCTTCAAGCTTCATGGGGCAATCTTTGCTCTAGGGAGTATATGTATTCGAGTCCTTCCTCGTCGGAGACAAAACTGAAATGTCAATACGGTTCGAGGGGATAGCAGGCAGGTTGTTGGTAAGTCTGCCACGTAGCTATCCTGTTGATGAAGCTCACATGGGACTACGGAGTCGACGGTTTGCAGCTAGGAGAATATCGTTGACCGAAAGCGTTGTGTGCGGCGTTAAACAGCGCCTGTGACGTCATGATAGTCTATGCAGTCACTATTCTGCGCGACGCACGCGTTGAAAAACTTGATGTTGCAGATCACAGCAGTAAGATACAACTCGAAGTGCTCTTCTCAATCACTCTGACACTGCTTGTAAGTTGTTTTGAAGCAAAGTTGGATCCATACTTAGGCTGATTTCGAATAACAGGTACAAGTTTCGTCGGTAAAATCATTTGCCTAGTGCCTGCTACTGCCCTTCTAGTTACACAGTTGAACATATCTTTTCTCATCTTGACTCCAGACACATATTTTACTAGACGTCGAGATCGGGCACGTGGTCAGTAATTGATTTTGAGTGTGTTCCTGAGTTGAGTGTTTTTTCTTCTGCCTCCGTCTCATGACCACTGACCATCATGTTCTCCACTGGCAGAATCTCGTTGTTTTTCGTGTGTGTGAATGACTCATGGGAATGAGATCGAATACGTTGGTGCGTAGTCATGGTAGTTGGGGTGACGCCCCAAGACCTTCCTGATCGCTTAGTCTCGAAGTTGATGGTTTTAAACAGGTTTGCATACTATGTAGCAGGGTTCCAGAATGACCTTATTGTGGCTACAGGCTTCTTAATAGTGGTAGGAAGCACAATATTTTGTTGGCATTTTACTTGACTGAAATCCGTCTTCCAGACCAACTGCTTAGTGTCACGATATGAGGCAGGCCCTTTCTCGTTCAGGACAGCTAGCGTCAGTGAAATTCTATGGAGCAATTGTAATACGTGCTATTCACTCTAGCGAGAGTGTCCGAGTCCTCCCCCGTCGGCCATAATCTCATCAAAGCAAGTAGAAGTCAGTACAGTTCGAGGGAATAAAAATATTCTTGGTAAGTAGCCTATGCTGCGCTGCTATTTCGTCGATCACATACTGTACCACGGAGGCAACGGTCCCTAGTTATCGGAGAGTGACAGTGTCGTTGGAATTACCCAAGTTCACTACTAGGAAGAACAGCTAATTTTTGGTATGCCCTGTTCTAAGAGCCACTGTCAGGAACACTGATTCTTGCGCCTTCTCTGTAGATCCAGCTTGAAATACAGATAATACCGGCAAAACTTTCGTACCATTCAATCCCTTTGCCAGGATTTTGGGATTGAATCATGACTACGTACTAGAATATACCCAAGGCACGCTAGCTAATTTTTTTTGCTGGGCGCGTTCCGAGATATTCGTTCCTGACACCACAAACTAGAAGAAGAAACCACAATGGTTGGTACTTTCCGGAATATTAAAGGCCCGAATTGTTATTTCATCAATGGTAACGTTAAACATCAGCCACCATCCGAGAGGACATCGGCCCAGCATGAGCGGTCTTCTCCATAGGTTGGGCCTGATTTCAAAGCACTTGTAGACAGCCAACCCTTCGGTCCCTTAACGACGAAACTAGTTACTGCCGAGTCTGTGCCTGGGATGCAGAATCATAACGGTGTTAAGTTGGACAATCTCGATTGATGCGTTTGAATCGGCGGAACTAAAGACCGTTCCCGCAGGTATCGCTTGTCGCTTACATATCCATCGTCAGACGGCAAGGAGAGGTAAATGAAGTATGTATCTTTTACTATTTAGCTTCCGATTCCGCCGTGTGAGCTCCTCGTGTGATTGTCCTCAGTCTGGTGATCACTGATACTCTTAAATTACACCAACACTTGGCCAATCGCGGCAGCCGCATCCCATCGATTTAGCTCGCAGAACTATAGCCTTCTCGACACTTTTGCCGGGAATGCTAGGCCAAAATTCATTTTCCTGCTACATGGAATCACCCGATGGGCTCCCTGAGCTATTGTCCGGGCCGAAGAAACTACTTGGTAGCAGGCTAGACATTGGATCCTTCATGTGCGCCACACTACGACGACAGTCCTTCCAGGCACCCTCGTTCACGTACAGCTCAATCGAATCGTGATAGGAGTGAATTTTCTCAATGGATACTTCCAATTCAACCCCTTCACGCGACCAGACTCGTGTATTCACACAATCAGATAGTAGGCGCCTCGCTTAGTGGCTCATGACAGCTTTGACGCTCGTCGTTTACAGTTTACCCGCCCCCTCACCGACATGACCAACGGGAACGCATACATCAAGTCATTAATCACCACGAGGCGCATGTGAACCGAGACGAGCCTCTGTCTTCGGAATAAAGCTCGCCACACATGGAAGAGCGGGAAACTTTGAAACGGCCCCGCTCACCGACGTGATGCGTAGCAAGGAGCGGGAGGCCATCAGCCCCATGGCGGTCTTCTCCCGCTGAGCCCTGTGCCCACAGCAAAGAAATGCGTGGAAAGAGATGATAGGAGAGCATGGTCTTCTGCCTGATGACCATTCCGCATGCCGCTCGCCGACAACGGGAAGCATCAGTAAGTATGATGATGGTCTTCTCCCGATTACCGCGATGGTTCGGACACAGTCCAAGTCCTGACACTGACCACAATTGCGGAGCGGGATGAGGAGTTGCTTCCACCACAAACCCTATGTTTCTTTCGGCTGAGTATGGGCGCAGTGATAAATTACAAGGGGACAATAGCTCCTTCGGATCACCTAGCCTGTTTCCCCTCTCATGGAGCCCCACCGAGTGCAACGCAAATGGTTTATATTAAGATATATTACGTCCGTGATAGTCTTGCAAATGAGGATTTACAATATACAAATATGTTTCCATTCAAATATTGTTTCTCCACTTCCATCATTGACTGTCCCTGAATTCGATTTCCCATATATCACCGCCCAAGTTACTCCTCGTTAAAGCAATATGTATGCTTCTTCCTGGAGCACGAAGACGTTGTAAATCATGTCCCTGGTTTAAGGCCTGACCTAATGCGAGGAGGACATCATAGACCGTAACACAACTCGGATTAACCATCGAACAATGAACTGTTATGATAGTGGTGGGGTGCGGA